CAGTCTGAAAACGCGACAAATTATAGCTTAAAAAACAGGACTATCATCAGGGACAGTCAAGAGGTTCTGAAAGGACTACAAGATGTATGAAACTATGCAAAGAGGAAGAGGAAGACATCGATGCCTTTGGTAATGATGAGGAGCTTGAGGATGCGGAAGAAATTGGCGAAATTTCTGATACCTTACCAAAAGTGTGACATGCAATGAAACAGGCTAGGCGATGAAGAGCTCCTGATAAAAGGTGGCGCTAAAGTATAACTCGTGGAATCAGGAGATGAATGACGTTAGCGCTATTGTTGTCACGCATTCTTAAGGAAAATATCGGTAAATTCCAAATGATTCGACCATCATATCAGTGATGCTACTCGACAACGTATGGAGCAGAGGATTTGAATAATTACATGCTTATCAGTTTGTTCCCGAATACGTCGACGAAGGTACCGACATACAGACATGAAGAATCGCTGGAAACTGTATAGCCAAAGAAGCTAACAAAGTTCAGAAGTAGATTTAATACAGTGGGTTATCTCCTAGTAGTACAGGAAGTAATTTAGACAAGCAGCGAATATGAAGTTCCAGTTAATCTAGTGTTCGTCGATTTCGACTCTTTTTTAACGTTTCGCTACTAAATTCCTTTAAGACCCGGGTACCGAGAGACGATGGAAGGCTCCTCGCAGTTATTTAAAAGAATATAGCTGCTAGTGCGAAGCTTCACTAAACCACAAGCAAATGCAGAAAGGGGCGTCCAACATTTTAATACAGTGTCGTCGAATTTGTTCGTAGCAGCACTAGAACAGGTTTTCAAGGCACTCTTTTTTGGAAAATGAACAGATTTTAAGACGAAATTATGTCTGCCTGCGGCAGGTCATCATTGCAACTGAGAATTGTTAATGGGAAACCAGCAATAGAACAAACTTGTTACGGAGTATTTGTGGAAGACTGGAAGTGTTCTTATCCTGGAAACTGCTCTTGTGCTTTAAACTGCAACGGAACATACTCGAGCAGTGTTCTCCCAATGTTGCGTTCATAGGCTTGACAACTGTTCATAAACAGCAGACTCGCAACGCAGCATGAAAAGAGTTGTGCTGGAAATAACAGTAAAGCAGGAAGTCGGATGAATGTAGGAGAGAACAAATCAAAGACAGCAATGTCGCTGCGCGCGTCAAGAAGTGGAAGTGGCAGTGGGTAGGACATACAACAAGAAGATATGACTATTGTTCAGCCACAGGGACACTAGCTTTGGTTCCGAGCGAGAACAAACGGCCAGCAGGAGGACCTCCAGCCCGGTGGCAGTTCACTGGATCAACGTAAATGATAATGGCGGAAAACAGAGGTCTATGGCGACATCTTGAAAAGATCTTCACCCATCAGCGGATTGACTAGGACTGATGATTTTCATGATGATATGTACACTATGTTTTTCAGAAATAAGTCCATGCAACCGAAAATACCTAAGAATATTGCAATTAAGTTAACCTTGAAATCTGATGATTACTGTTCGTCTTTGCAGGAATTCCAGTCGCGGCTTTCCACAAAACAAGCGGAATACGATGCTGCAATCAGAATGGGCAAGTCTTTGAAAGATCATGCACTGAAAATGGAACAGCCGGCCATCCAAGAATTGTTGAATATGATTCGAGACAAATGGAGTGCGGTCAGCAATATGTCAAACGACCGTCAACGAAAGCTTGAGGAAGC